TGTTACAGAGTAAAAAGGGATAAAGAAGAAGAACAGAAAGGACAACAGAATGAAAGCGATGATGTGGAATATGGAGACGAAAGTGATGAATATGGAAAAGACAATGGCACAGACGGAGAGCAGGGAATAGAAGAAGATGAAGATGAGGGACATCCTGAAGGTGGTAGACATCAGGAACAAATGGATGAAGACCTTAATACCAATGAAAATCTAACACAGAAGAGGAAGGGTATAGTGGATAGAGATAACTGGAAAACAATACAAAATAAGAGACTACGGATGGAAGGCAAGCATTACTCCGGGTACAGGAAAAATCATGAAACCGGTAAACATGAATACACTGAGAGAGGGGAAAGAAAGCTTGGTAAGCGATGTGATCATAACCTGAATTATTTCAAGACGAAAAAATGCGGTACTGTTTCAGACGAAGATCGGCAAAATCTTTTTGGTGAATTTTGGAATGCAATGGATTGGGGACAAAGGAAAGTATACATAGCTTCCCTTGTTACATATTATCATGTTCCACACCGAGGGCGCAGGACCGGGACTTTTAAGTACAATTTAAGAGTAAATGATGAGATGATTAATGTGTGTAAAAAAATGTTTCTTAACACATTCGGGCTGAAAGAATGGTCTGTTAGAAATTGGGTCCTTTGTGCGAAGGATAAATACGGTATGCACGAGAGTTACAGCTATCGAAAACAAAAAGGAGACACACCTACTGCCAACAAAAATAAGATCAGTATTGCAAGAGAATTTCTTAAATCATTACCCAAGCTGCCATCACATTATTCGCGCTCTGATTCGTCCAAACATTACCTAGAAACAACAATTGACACAAAGAGAAAGTTGTATGAAGTGTTCCAAAGTTACTGTGAATCAAAAGATTACCCGAAGGTTTCTATCCAAGTGTTCAGCAAAGTGATGAATGAAGACAATGTCGCCATTACAAAACCCAAAAAAGACGAATGCAATGTATGTTGTTCATATAAGCACAACACCATATCCGATGAAGAACACCAGCTTCACATACAGAGAAAAGAAGAGGCTAAAGAAGAAAAGAAGAAAGACAAACAAGAAGCTCAGTCTGAAGATGGTGATATTGTGGTACTTACCATGGATCTTCAAGTGGTTCTTCTATCACCAAGAATTTTTGCAAATGCCAATTACTACAAAACAAAACTCTCGTGCCACAACTTCACCACCTATAATCTAGGAACTAGGGAAGTGTACTGCTATTTCTGGCATGAGGGCCAAGGTGAAGTTACTGGAAACAATTTCGCATCTTGTATTGTTGACCAGGTTCAGCATATCATTAGTCAAAATGTTGAAAAACCACCAAAAACCATTATTCTTTATAGTGATGGCTGCTGCTATCAGAACCGGAATTTTGTATTGGCCAACGCACTCCTTAACCTGTCAATGTCAACTGGTGTTACAATAATTCAAAAGTTTTTGGAGAAAGGCCATACCTGGATGGAGGTGGACTCCGTTCATTCTGCCATCGAAAATAAGCTCCGAAATCGCGAAGTATATTGGCCAGCCGAGTACGTAAATATATTTAGATCAGCCAGAAGGGAGCCGCAATATCAGATCAAATATGTCGATCATACATTCTTTAAAAATTATAGCCAATTGTCATATTTGAGCAGTATCAGACCTGGTAACTCAGTTGGAGATCATGTCGTTACTGATATTCGTGCTCTTAAATATTCTCCTGATCTGAAAGTAGAATTTAAGCTTTTGTTTTCAGAAGAGTGGCAGTTGCTTCCCAGGAGACCTAAAGCTCGTCATAATCAAATTGTCGCCCCACTATACAGACATCCACTTCCCATCAAAAAATCCAAATGGCAGCATTTGCAGGAACTGAAAAAAGTATTGCCACGGGAATATCATCATTTCTATGATTCCCTGCCTTATGTACATCAGGAATAACGGACATATCGCATGCTGTAGATTTCACCAATCGACGTGTACTTGTATGGTATATTTAACACAGATATAAATTGTCATAATTTCAAAGCATATTGTTAGTTTGAGTTTAATACTAACTATCATCTATGAATACATTACATTTCATATAATAAAATCCATTAACATCAAATCATACTTATTATCTGTACCCCTCCTTGTCGCAAATATCCACTGATTATTTTTTATTGGTCACGTCGTCTGACATTTTCCACCAACGACATGACTGGACTTTAATAGGTTTGTAAATACCTTGTCCTAAATATAATGAAGTGGAATGTGGTTTAATATCCCACTTGCCTGCACCAACCGGGATAATGGGCAGACGCGATGCAGTGTGATATCATGGGTTCCTTAACGTGCATGCGAAAGTGTATACGGGACCTCGGTTTTCGTCCCATCCGAGAGACTAGACTCTGTTCCTTCCCAGCCCTGACAAGGGCAAACCACGCTGGAAAATCCTGAGGAACATTCTCGGTCGACGACGAAATCGAACTCGGAACTTATTGGTTAGCGAGCCACCACAGTCCCGCGTTGTCCTACACACACTCCTTATAATCCCTGTGATTGCCTCAGGAACTGTGTACTTTTCAGTTTTCCAAAATTGTGTATTGGTCACATGGTCTAAAAATTTGAAATGACATGGGTTTTATCGTCCCACTATTGTGCTCCTACTGGGCTAATAAAGACGGGCATACGCCATACAGTGTGCTATGGGGTGGGGTGGGCATTTTGCTATAAGAACTACCGCCTAACGCCAAAAGTTCTTTAACGTGTACGGGAAAGTGTACATGGGACCTCGATTTTCGACCCATACGAACGACTAGACGCTGTTTCTTGTCAGCCCCTCTTCGGGGGAACTCTCTAGGTCATCACCGGGATCGAACCCGGGACGCCTTGGTTTGCGAGCCTGTGCCTTACACACTGAGTCACTGCAGATTCCGTTGTCCTACTCATATTAGCCCTTTGGCATTGTATCAGGAACTGTGTACTTTTCAGTTTTTCAAAATCACGACAAATCTTTTAGAAAATTATATTAAATAGTTGTGATATGAAATATATCAGACACATGAATTTTTTTTATCTTATTCCATTTTTATAAATTTTCGAAAGCTCAAAACTAATTATTTTAACATTTTTTTGTTAAACTTGTATTTAAACTTTCGTTGATCAAAAAACACGTACTTGAAGAATTGGTCATCTTTCTAGAATCAAAAACACGTATATAACATTTTTCGATTATATTTTAGAATAAATAATTATTTTCACTTGAAAAAGATCATGAATCAAAGCGTACTCATATTTTCATCAAACAGATACCCGATATTATTCAGAAAAATATGGCAGTTTTATTTAAAACAAATTTTATCGATTAACTCCTTTACTAACTTTCAGCATTTTTTCGTTATACGAGGTTTCAAGCGGAGACCCACGATATATCAATTTCAAAACAATCAGATGATTAATGTAGTCTGTAGAGTGTTCACAAGAAATTGTGGAAGACGGACGGACAGACCGACGGCAATATACAACCACATTTCCATGTGGGCGTATAAAAAATGAAGAATCCCGACTGCGGAAATTAAGAAACCTAAATCTTTTTGATGAAAAAATCTATCACTGTAACGCCACTTTGGGCGATGAACTTTTCTACATGTTAGAAAGGCCCATTAAAATGGTTAAATCACACAAAAATCCAACTTAGCAATAGTTTAATTGTTCATGAATGATGATTTTAATGGTAAGTCTTATCATATTTGTTAAAATACGCGCCAAATATAGCTCGTTTATTGGATTTTTGTTCTGTGCATGAACCTACAATGTGTGAATAAGGATTAAAAAGGTAGGTTGCCAGGCAACAAAACATACGCCCACAGCAGCTAAATCGTCCGAGCAGTCGTCAAGGGTTGTCGCATATTTATTCCTTTGTAGGTAATTGGGGGCCTTTACAAGACAGTTCCATACAGATCAGATTATAAATTTTGTCGTTTTGAGGGTTTACAAGGTTCTACAAACTGAAACAAGGGTCTCAACTCTGGAAGTAATCTACAGAAATTGTTGAAATTTGACAGGCTTTTTCGTTTTACTAATTTAAACAATGCATATAAATTTCATACACATCAAATGATTACTTTTGTCATTCAAACGTTCACAATCGCCATAACTCCAGAAATTATTGACGGAAATTGCTGAAATTCAATAGACCTGTTTCACAAATTTAAATGATTCATATAAATTTCATACATATCGGATGATAACTATCATCAATCAAGCATTAACAAGGTTTAACAAAGTGAAACAAGGGCAATAACTCTAGAAGTAATTATTGTAAATTGCTGAAATTCAATAGGCTTTTTCGTTTCACTAATTTAAATCATGCATATAAATTTCACAAAGATCGGGTGATAATATTTTGCGTTAGAGCATTCACAAGGATCAATAAAGTGAAACAAGGGCCATAACTCTAGACGTAATAAACAGAAATTGTTGAAATTCAATAGGCTTCTTCGTTTCACTAACTTAAATATTGCATATAAATTTCACAAAGACTGTATGTTAACTTTTGGCATTAGAGCGTTCACAAAGTTCAACAAAGTGAAACAAGGGCCATAACTCTAGACGTAATAAACGGGGCGACGGCAATATACGTCCACATTTCAATGTGGGCGTATAAAAATAATGTATACTGGTACGGATTTTGCACCCTTTTTTCTTCCCTTTTTACAGACTCTATGAGAGTCTTGTATTATGTCTAAATAGCCATGTGCACAGCAACCAAAATATATGTACCAAGTGTCAAGCAAAATAATGTACCGGTATTTTAAAGGTATTTATAAATAATGTACCGGTATTTTAAAGGTATTTACCTTGTCCTTTTGAACAGATGTCGGTGACTCCAGTGTCTCCAATATCGGCAAAATGGCCGAGTATCGGCCGATACCAATTTCTACCGATAGGCCACATACAGATCAATTACAGATGTTGAAACCAATTATAGGACCATTACTAATTACAATTAATCAACTTACACCTTCTTTTTCATTTTCCATCAACACTTTCTTCATAGCAACCAATTTACTTCTGTTTTTTCTGTCTTTTGCTTTAAACACTTCACTGAAAGAATATAAAATGCTATAACTCTCAAAGTTCACCTCCATTAAAAATTTGACATGGATGTAAAATAAATATTAATCCAAGCCTACTTAACATCCTGATAACTGAAATGAGTGAAATGAAGTTTATCATCCTATTTTTCTGCACATTGACGTCATTGTTGAGAACTGATTCTGCAACAGATTTTAATCAACCACACCAACGCAAAGTTGTAAAGATATCATTATTAACAGACTAATGACACATTTAAATGTTGTTGTCTCCCTATAACGGTCTTTGCTATGAACAACTCAACAACAGTCCCAAAGTAGTATGTGTAGTCATCAATAAAATAAGTCATCCTGTCAGCCATTATTAATATCTTCATATCACATGGTGTCAGATGTCTAAAAGGAAAAATGGATCAATTAATTCAACCACCTGCATGCAGCTTATAAAAATGTGTGGGAACCCAATGTAGCAGAAAACTGGCGTTGATGGAAACAGCTATTTGAAAATTACTTGACAGCGAGTGATAGACTGTCAGAGAAAATTGTTTATGTCACAGACTTGTGAAATACATAAAAAATTCAGAAATGATAAGGTGAGAACCAAACTTTTACGAGTAGCCTAGTTGTTTCTGAGAACAGAACCTACATGTAAGAACTTCCACTCCCATACTTCTGGCAGGGTTTCATTTGACTAGACCTTATAGTTGTACCACTCAAACACTGCTGGGCTGACTAATGATTTCTGTCCCTTAATTATGACTGGTAATAGGACTTGGGTTAACAAGCATTCCATTACAGCGTAACAAATAACAGTACAGATATTACTCATCATTAAGAATGAGTATCTATTATCGTGTTAAAATGGACCATAAATAAAACTTAAAATTCCCATTTGTGTCTGTGCTGACACCAATTCCCCCCTCCTGTGACTACGACTCCTACAGAAATATGCAATCAGTAGTAAGACTTCTGTAAGAGAATGTTTCAGGACCAAACTCCTTTTCAACGGGATACAATGAGGTATCTAGTCAAGACGAGGGACGAGAAGAGGAGGCTATCAGAAGAAGAGGGCCTGGAGGCAAACTGGGTAATCCTCCGAAACAAGGTAGTTAACACAGTAAGACGCCCCAACAGCCAACGGCAGGCAACAAGCATAGTGGCAGGTGATACGAACCAGGGCCATTGCAAGGCAAAGAATAAAAACGCCTAGTTGTAGCCAAGACCATGGTGCCAAACTTGTAAATAATTTGAAGGTTTATTACACCAACGTAGACAGTCTTTCAAACAAAAAAATTCAACTAACTTGTTTCGTTGATATTTTTATGCACCTGTCGTTATTTGCTGCACAGAATTTTTACCCCAAAATGCATGTTATGCACCAACAGAAGCCGAGATCCAGATTGATGGGTACGACAAGTTCACCAATTTCACAACTGCTACGCATGGTGTATTCACCTACACCAACAAAGTCTTTCTGCTGCTATGAGCCCATTTTAAACAACAGCAGACTTCCACGAAAGTGTATGGTGCGAGTTTAATCTGAGAGATTCTGAAAACAACAACAAACTCTAATGACAGTCTCATGAATATCTGCCAAAACTCGTCAGCTTCGTACAACGTAATTGTTGGAGACTTCAACTCTCCATCAGTAGATTAGGTGACGTACAACAACCCTCCCACTCAGACACCAAGCAGCTGTGCTCTTGGAAGCACTTAGTGACACATTCCTCATCCAGCATGTATATAGACCCACACACAGGCCACATTGTACGGCAACCATCCTAGACCTAGTATGGTCCAATGAAGTTGGTATGATCTCGGACACAGGAAATGGCTGCTTGAGGTTAAATCAGCTAGCCAAGCCTGGGAAAGCATGTATATCCCGCCAAAGAGGTCGAATAAAAACAATTGCACCAAACAAAGAAAATGTAGACCACTTTGGATGAATGAAAAGGCGCTATCAAAAGTTAAGAAGAAACATGCGCTATATCGACTCCCTTGAAGGTGAGCTGTACCTACAGATCTGCAAAGGCCAACTGCATAAAGGCTGCAAGAGCTTATGAGAAAAGCATTGCTAAAAAGCTAAATAGAATTCGAAGGCATTCTATGGATGTGACATTATCCTGTGTCGCGGTACCAATCAAAAAGGTCAATGTGACTATCTAATCAGGAACTAATCGTGTTTTGGGCCCTGGTAAGACCACACTTAGAGCACTGTGCAAGTGTCTGGCGCCCAATGTGGAAAGGGGTCCAACAGAAAGTTGAAAATGTTCTCCACAGAGTCACCAGGATAATTCCGAACCTGAAGAAATACAATTACACTGAGCGACTGATAAGAATGGGCATACCAAGCATCATGAAGTATCGTCACAGGAAGGGGGACATGATTGAGGTATGGAAATTTCTTAACTGGATGTATAATGTCACTGCCCCAAAGCTAAGATTTGACACCGATACCCGAACGGACAGACCTAGGCCAATGACTAGATGACACGACCTAAAGTTGGAGAAGACTTTCACCCATAAGTCTTTCCGTGCACACTTCTTCAGTCAAAGAATAGTAAACAGACTAAATCACACTTGGTACAACTCTAGATACAAATTTAAGAACGTTGACGATACGAAGACAAAATTTAGGTAATCAGAGCAAAGAAATTGGAATCTTTGAATCTTCGGTCATTTATTGCTTTGCCTACCCCAGATAGATTCTAATTATTTCAAAGATTCCAATTTCTTTGTCCTGGTTACCTAAATTTCGTTTTGTCTTTGTATCCCCAACATTCTTAAATTTATGTGTTGACCTATAATTAGAGTGCAATGGCGGCGCTAAAGCAACTTAGCATGAGGGGACATATTTTTAACAGCAGGTTGTGTCAAACATACTGACTGCAGCGAGTTAAGCACTGAGGTCTTTTTATCTCATTAAAATGTTCCTTTACAGTGTACAGTACAGGCGTTCACAGGGACTGACACGCGACCGTTTAGCAGTTAAAAGTTGCCCAGTAAGTGTAATGAGACCTATGTTCAGAGCTGAACTAAGTTTTACCTGTTGGAGTGTTGCAAAAATTGGCTCACAAAATGCTCTCCTTGGCCTCTTTAGAAAAATAACCTGAACTGTGCTAAGTCTCCTAAATTGAACTGGTTAGAAATTTTTCTAGAATACAGATCAGCTAAAAGGCCCAAAGGGCCAACATACAGCTGACAAATTATGGATATAGAATATTATGGATATGGTCCATATGGATATAGAATATCCTATTCCTAGTCCCACGTCTGACTGACTGTAGCGACCGGTGCCACCGCTAGGGGGCTCAGACAGTGGTGCACTCAGCTATGGACGATTTTCAACCCCACTCCATCTGTTTAGGGGTCATGTTTTTGCCGAGCTAGTACAGACTTTTCCAACTGAATTTGGGTCGGAAACCATATGGTTCTCTTAGAGAGTATCCAAGCGTGTCTGAAAAATTGGTTAATGGCAGTTGACATGCAGTAAGTTGGCTTTTAATAAATTGTTGAAGTTTTCTTTTTTATTGAAATTGTCTGATATGCGCATATACACTCAAAATTTTACTTACAATTATAAAAATAAACACTAAATTAGTGACCTAAAATATTCCCAAGGATCGAAACCCCCGTGGAAAGTGGCAATTCCTGGAAATCAGCACCGTGTCAGATTCCAAAGGAACGCAACTCCATCACAATATGGGTACAGACCATGGGTTCCACATCGGTCGTATATGCCGGTTGAGACCTAGTGGTATGGAAAATGATTGTAACAAGATCTGACCCAACAGTCATTTTGCACACCGGAAAGAAAGCCTTTTTTTTTCAAAACCCAATTTTCAAATATGGCTACGATAGACCTCCACTATGTAACTATACAAATGTACGCCAGTACAGAATAATGCACATAATCCTGTGATTGGTGTTATAGGGTTGTATGCATAGTCATCAACAGATTATACTGAATGTTGTGTTGATAATTAATGACGAGTGTCTGGTAGTAGAACAATAAAATTTAATTGATATGTGGGTATCTTATCAATGGCATGAAGCGGTCCATTGTTAATCATTCACGTATAGTCCACGTATCATAAGAATGTTCTAAAACCAATAAATGTGAGATATATGCCGTGGATAATTATATATTTATCTTCATTTCAAATTTATTGTATTACAACCCAAAATTATCCAGGTCAGTGTGTTTTCTATAGAGCATGTGGTAATTACGTGTTAGTTACTGAAATGTTTTTTCTACAGCCAATTCAGCTATTTCGTTATTTAAGTAGCCAAAACAAAATATTTAATGAATAAATAATTATCATAAGCCTTACTAATGTTTCATTTTTAAGTCCAATATATATTTTTTTTGTGTACCTCATGCTGACAAAGTGGTATAGACCCGTGAGTTCACAATACCTGACCATGAATAAAAAACATGAAATATGAATTTACAGACCACAGTTAATACTTCAAATGACTTTGACAAAAGAAAATGTAGCTTGGTGTTTTTACAATACTGAGATGTACAGCTTTCGGAAAATAACAAGCTTTCTCAAGAAGAAAATAATATTTAAAAATAGCTGCCGGTCACTAATTTCAGGCCTAAAGAAAGACCTGCAATAGGCAGATTTAGCTCTTGCTTAATGTATGTTTAAAGCTTGGTATATAGGAGCTTTTACGTGTGACGTTCTTCCGGTGTCTATTTTTAGCCTGGCCTTTTTCATCACGTATCTTAACATGGTAAATGTTTGGTTGTAAAATGCCACGAAGTAGAGCATAAGAGTAAATAATAGAATGGGTTAGCGTGGTGACCTGCACTTCCACGAAAGAATTATTCAAGACAATATTAAAATTTAAGCAGTACCGTAGCACATCTGAAAAAAACAAAACAAATAATAATCACGCTGTAAAAATAATTCTGTATAGAATGCACTGAGTCCAGTTATATATTTGCATTCAACAGTTGTTCTCTAAACCTAATACTGATTTAGAAATTGATAAAACGGACACTTGTATCATTCTTGATTCTTGGTAGCGACAGTGGAGATAAACTGACTGTCAAAAGCTGAGCTAAGACGATTTATGTGAATACATAAGGAAAAAAGAAAAAATATTTAAAAAAATATTCAGAGATTCAGCTTGATCATCGTTTTATTCTTTCTGTTATTCATATTCCATCAAGGGGAAATTTTATAAAAATGGTTCAAGTTTTACTCTGTGCATCCAACAACGATTTTATCATTAGAGCCGTCTAAACGTGGGGAAATTTACAGTAGCTATTGGCTAACAGCTCGCATAAACAATCCTATTTGCATATTGCATACTATTTATAGTATTATTAGCTGGAATTATTTTTAAGTCGATAGCCTCAAGGACCAACATAGTACCGTGGTTTTTTTTTGTGTAGAGTATAGCATGCAGTGCAAAAGCAGACGACCTCGCACGTACTGTCCAGTCGGCAGTTGGATGTAAATAGGATAGACCATTTAAATCTTTTGTGTTAATACTGTCCTGTAATTAATAGATAACATCTGTTTGGTCGTAAAATGCGTAACAAACTTGACCAAATTCTAGTTTGGGCCATGAGCACGGATCAGTCATCCACTTGTTTTCCTCAATTGCATACGGCCATTACAGGTCTGGTAAACTTGCCGCATCTTTTCTACATCAAAGTTTTGTCAATATCGGTTTCTGACATCGGTCGGTAAACCTTACATGTATGTAGAAATGGTGATCGGTTTCATTTTATGTAAAACAAGCTTACTGTACGACTGTATTTTCACAAAAAAACACACAATGGCCTATTCAGGCCCTATGTGTTTCAGTCTACAGTTAACGCCAGGGTCTGTGCATGACCAAAAATGACGTCAAAAGGGAAACCCAAAAAAGCTACCCAATATAAATATTGTGGTGTAATTGTCCAGATATTTATTTATGGTGGGTCACCCTATCTGGAGAAGAAAATAATATTTAAAAATAGCTGCCGGTCGCTACTGACTGAAGAAAGGAAAATCTACAGATCTGTACTTTATAATTAGTTAACATGCACATTTGATTCAACGACAATTACACACCCAAATGTGCCTTGACCTATTTTCAATAGTTTTTCATATTTACTTAGTCTCTTCTTCACAATACGGAAACTTTAAATCGTCATATTTTGACATTTTAGACAAATAAACAACATAAGTTTGAAAATTTCAACTTCCGGCTCTTCTCTGTTGTCCCATACAGCAATGAAAAATGAGAAAGTTTCAATATATCTTTGGATTTTTCATTAGATTGGGAAATATTTGCTAATTTCATCAATAAATAACCCTAACTGACAAGCTCACTATACAGCTTCGATTGAATCTAGATACAGCAAACTTGCTGTATCTTTTCTACATTGAAGTTTTGTCAATATCGGTTTCTGACATCGGTCGGTAAACCTTACACGTATGTAGAAATGGCGATCGGTTTCATTTTATGTAAAACAAGCTTACTGTACGACGGTATTTTCACAAAAAAAAGACACAATGGCCTATTCAGGCCCTATGTGTTTCAGTCTACGGTTAAGGCCAGGGTCTGAGCATGACCGAAAATGACGTCAAAAAGGAAACCCATAAAAGCTCCTATATATAAATATTGTGGTGTAATTGTCGAGATATTTATTTATGGTGGGTCACCCTATCTGGAGAAGAAAATAATATTTAAAGATAGGTTGCCAGGCAACTAAACATACGCCCACAGCAGCTAAATCGTCCGAGCGGTCGACAAGAGTTGTCGTATATTTGTTCTTTTGTAGGTAATTAGGGAGCATTTAATAGACAATTTCATACAGATGACATTATAATTTTCGTCGTTTGAGGGTTCATAGGGTTCTAAAAACTAAAACAAGGGCTGTAACTCTGGAAGTAATCTACAGAAATTGTTGAAATTCGACAGACTTTTTCGTTTTACTAATTCAAATAATACATATCAATATCATACAGATCGGATGATAACTTTTGTCGTTCGAACGTTCAGAACTTTCAGCAAAGTAAAACAAGGGCCATAACTCTAGAAGTAATTGACAGAAATTGTTGACATTCAACAGGCTTCTTCATTTCACTAATTTAAATGAGGCATATGAATTTCATACAGATTGGGTGATAACTTTTGTCGTTCAAGCGTTCACAAGATTCAACAATGTGAAACAAGGGCCATAACTCTAGATGTAATTAACGGAAATTTGCTGAACCTCAACAGGCTTGTTCGTTTTACTAATTTAAATGATACCTATAAATTTCATACAGATCGGATAATAACTTTTGTCGTTAAGGCATTCACAAGGTACAACAAAGTGAAAAAAGGGCCATTACTCACGGTGTAATTAACGGAAATTGTTGAAATTCAATAGACATCTTCGTTGCACTAATTTAAATGATGCAATCAAATTCAAACAGATCGGATGATAACTGTTGTCATTAGAGCGTTCAAAAGATTCAACAAAGTGAAACAAGGGCCATAACTCTAGATGTAATTAACGGAAATTACTGAAATTCAATAAGCTTCTTTGTTTTACTAATCTAAATGATGCATATAAATTTCATACAGATCGGATAATAACTTTTGTCGTTAAGAGCATAAACAAGGTACAACAAAGTGAAACAAGGGCCATAACTCACAGCGTAATTAAAGGAAATTGCTGAAATTCAATTGGCTTTTTCGTTTCACTAATTTAAATGATGCATATCAATTTCAAACAGATCGGATGATAACTGTTGTCATTAGAGCGTTCACAAGATTCAACAAAGTGAAAAAAGGGCCATAACTCTAGATGTAATTAACGGAAATTGCTGAAATTCAATAGGCTTCTTTGTTTTACTAATTTAAATGCTGCATATAAATTTTATACAGATCGGTTGAACACTTTTGTCGTTAGAGCGTTCACAAGGTGCAACAAGGTGAAACAAGGGCCATAACTCACGGCGTAATTAACGGAAATTGCTCAAATTCAATAGGCTTCTTCGTTTCACTAATTTAAATGATGCATATCAATTTCAAACAGATCGGATGATAACTGTTGTCATTAGAGCGTTCACAAGATTCAACAAAGTGAAACAAGGGCCATAACTCTAGATGTAATTAACGGAAATTGCTGAAATTCAATAGGCTTCTTTGTTTTACTAATTTAAATGATGCATATAAATTTCATACAGATCGGTTTATCACTTTTGTCGTTAGAGCGTTCACAAGGTGCAACAAAGTGAAACAAGGGCCATAACTCCAGACGAAATTAACGGAAGTTATTGAATTTAAACAGGCTTCTTCATCTCACTAATGCAAACAACATATATCAATTTCAAAACAATCAGATGATAAATGTAGTCTGTAGAGTGTTCACAAGAAATTGAGGACGACGGACAGACAGACGGACGGACGGGGGCGACGGCAATATACGACCACATTTCCATGTGGGCGTATAAAAATAGCTGCCGGTCGCTACTGACTGAAGAAAGGAAAATCTACAGATCTGCACTTCATAAGTAGTTAAAGGAGCTAAATCGCTAATATTTGGGACCTAGAAATTGACAAAAATGGGTCGCAACGCATATAATAATGTAATTGTAATTAGGGGTTTCAGGTCAAAGTTTCAAATAACAGAAAAAAATTTTTTTAAATTATTTTGTGAAAACATACATAAAATGCTACCCAAATTTTGTTATTTCATCAAAATATTCTAATTAGATCCAAAGTTATGGAATTTTAAAATCCAAGATCGACGTCAATAATGTAATCAAAATGCTCTATACCAGTCAATGCGTGGCATGGCACCAAAATAAGCGCTTTTCAGTCATATTTGAGTGACGTCATAAGCGGTATTTTCCCTTCAGAATCAGTAGCACCAATTTTAAAACTAAAATCCGCCCGTTATTGTCAGCTAAAATTTATTAAAATCGTAATAATTTGAATGATAATATGTCAAATATTTATAATCTGAATGATATTTAGTCGAAATTTGGCAATTTTCAGTCATCTAAACAGATAAATCCCATTTTCTACGGGTCTAATTGTCTGATCACGTGGTATCAACAAGCATAATAACCACAAAAATGTTATCTATCGTTTGATTGGTTCTATATCAAAATCCCCCGGTAACTAAGGTGCGGATTTATCAATGAAGTGAGTCGTAGCAATGGAAAATCCCAGGGCGTGTGACGTCAGAACGGTATTTTCCCGCGAGCGTCTCATGTAAACAAACGGTAATTTCGCTTACATTTCGATAATTTTTTAGCCTGAATCTTTGCAGATATTGAGATTGATATTAAACTATTGCAATACAATTGCTAGTAATGCATTTACATAAAATAGTAATTCAGAATCATAGATTGAAGTGGGCTATATTTCAGCCGCTGGCTGTCCGATTTCACGCTAAAGTCACATGACCTGAAACCCCTATTGTAATATGAATGTATATAAACTGATTTACATTCAATCGTTTCTGTTTTTACTGTAATTTCTAATCAGTTATGTTCGGCGAAATAGGCCAGAAAGTCTCATGTGAATGGCAATCTTTAGCGTCTGTTTTTTCCAGTCTACACTGATGGTATTTATTGCGCATGCTCTAGAGATAAGAATATAGCTTCACCATTTGACATGATTTTGGAATATGTCTAGCCCTGTTCTTTGAGTTCCTTGTTCCAAATGGCGCTGAAAACCATTATGGTACACGATTCATGTACCAATGGTAAAATGTTTATTTTGTATTGAATATTGGATATCAGAAGCCCATCTTATCCCTGTAAGATCGCAAGACCAATGTTGATTTGAATTGACAAATAATTCGTGTTTTCAATGTCGAAGATTTTTGATGATACTGAGTTAGAGACTTAGCTACTTCATGCACATTTAATTCAACAACAATTACACACCCAAATGTGCCTTGACCTATTTTCAATAGTTTTTCATATTTAGTCTCTTCTTCACAATACGGAAACTTTAAATCGTCATATTTTGCCATTTAGCCTAGTACAAATATTAATAAACAACTTAAGTTTGACAATTTCAACTTCCGGCTCTTCTCTGTTGTCCCATACAGCAATGAAAAATGAGAAAGTTTCAATATATCTTTGGATCTTTCATTAGATTGGGAAATATTTGCTAATTTCTTCAATAAATAACCCTAACTGACAAGCTCACTATCTATACAGCTTCGATTGAATCTAGATACAGCAAACAATGTAGAGAATTTTTTTAACAGAGTAAGAGTTATTTCCCGTTCCAAATATCACTATCAGGACACAGATCACCAAATATTCATGGGAGTCTCTCTTTCCCTTTCCCTTTTCCCCCTTTTGCATGGCGATTTTTTTTACTTTTTGGTGTAGAATCGAAAAAAAGGGTTTGAAAATACATTTTCTGACAGGTTTTGGTGAATATTCATGATTTTGAGGCGGAAGGATACAAGAGTTGTGAGGTTGGTTACCAATGACGTAATATTATATACGTCATTGTTGGTTACGTTGAAATGTAGGGCCGGAAATTGCATGTTTACTTGTCTCTACTTCCTAGTCTCTATCGTCCAGAAAAATATTCTACGAATATGGCCACAGATCACTAAACATTTGCCCATTGACTTTAATGTTAATTCTCGTCTCTTAGACCGGCTCTAACTTTTTCCCAAATTTTTCGTTGGGTAGAACGCTTTCTACCACAGATGGAGCAACATGTGGCAACCTCTTGCCCAAAAGCACGTATGAGGTTCACCATGGAAAACTTGAAACACACAAGCTGGAAGTAGAGACAAGAAAACATGCAATTTTGGACCCTACATTTCAAACTAACCACCCAGTTAACATTGATGGTTAGATTTACGTAAAGTTTACGTCATTATGGTTAGATTTTGGTTAGCGTCCAATAATGGTAAAATTCTTTGGTTAAATTTACGTTACTTTTACGTCATAATGGTTATGGTTACTTTTACGTCAGAAAATGACGTAAATGTAACGTAAACTTTATGACGGATTACTAACCAATTTTTTTCCCTTTGAATACTTCTTGATTAAATAACATTACAAGTGTGTGCACATTCTAACAATTGATATATAGTCGGAATTCAGACATAATAATTATATATGTATTATTGGTTATAATTCTAACGTTAATCTAACGTAAATTTTACATCAGGTTTCTAACCGTTAGTTTATGGTTAGATTTCTGACGTAAATCTAACGTTAGTTTTCTGACGTAAATCTAACGTTAGTTTTCTGACGTAAATCTAACGTTAGTTTTCTAACGTTAATATAATGTTAGTTTTCTAACGTTAATGTAATGTTAGTTTTATGTCATAATTTTAACCGTTAATTTAACGTTAGTTTTCTAACGTAAATCTAATGTTAATTTTATAACATAAATCTAACTTTAGTTTTCTAACATAAATCTAACGTTAGTTTTCTAACATAAACCTGATATTAGTTGTAAAACGTAAAACAAATGTCAGTTTAATGTCATGATACTAACAATTAAGGGCCTGACAAGACAGCTGTCTAGTCATTAAAATGGGTAAGACCCTGGCTCGCTAGCCTGGAGGTCGGGTGTTCGATCCCTGCATTGGCCGAGAAAGTTCATCCAGATTTCCGGCGTGGTTTCCCCTTGTCAGTGATGCAGGACGGAGAGCCTGACAAGGACAGCTGTCTAGTTGTTCAGATGGGATAAAAAAAAAACGAGGTTCTGTGTACACATTGGCATGCATGTAAAAGATCCCTTGACAGTTGGAATTTGATATAAGAGTAGGCCGTAGTGCCACTGTCGGGGCAAAATTTCCCTCATAACACACTGTATGGTGTATGGCCATCTTCATTAGCCCAGTTCGGAGCAAAACAGTTGGACGTTAAACCCCATTTCATTTCATTACATTTTGTATCCATTTCTAAGTGCCCAAGAATAGAGATCTAGCTCCTTTAATAGTTGCGGTCTGTAGGTGACACACAAAGAGAAAACGAATGAATGAATGATCTACTCTCATTTCAAATTCCAAATGTCAAGGGTTCTTTTACGTGCACACCCACGTGATGGACTAGACACTGTTTTTTTGAGGTCCTCTGTCCTACACCACTACTAACAAAGGGAACTTTCTCGACCAACATGGGGATCACGTTGGCTAAGTGGGTAAGACGCTGACTCGCTAGCATGGAGGTCGGGTGTTCGATCCCTGCATTGGCTGAGAAAGTTCATCCAGATTTTTCTGCGTGTTTTCCCCTTGTCAGTGATACAGGACGGAGGGCCTGACAAGAACAGCTGTCTAGTCAGGGATGAAAAACTGAGGTCACGTGTACACACAGGAGTGTACATGAAAGATCCCTTGGTAGTTGGAACTTGATATAAGAGTAGGCCATAGCGCCGCTGCCTGGGCAAAATTTCCTTCATAGCATACTGTATGGCGTATGCTCGTCTTCATTAGCTCAGTTTAGGAGCAGAACAGTAGGACGTTAAACCCAATTTCATTTCATTTTTCTCGACCAACACGGAAATTGAACCCCTCATTTGCTAGCCAGTGTGTTACTAATTACTAGAGAGAGAGAGAGAGAGAGAGAGAGAGAGAGAGAGAGAGAAATGGGGTTTAACGTCTACTCGACACAAACTAGGTCATTTCGGGACTAACATATGGTTTAATTTTTATTTACATAATTCGCTTGCGCGTAGGGGTCTTTAGCAGTGGGAGAAAACCGGAGGTTGGACAGGCGACCCTACTCCTTGTCACGTACAACCGGGGATTCGAAACCACGCCAGTCAACTCAATGACAGACTTTATGATACAGCGCCCGCACGCTAACCATTCAGCCATCCAACCCCCCGTTACTAATTACTAAGTTTGTGAAATGTAGGTTTTTCCTCATGTAGGTTTGTCCTGATGAAATCGGTTTATTGTCCTACTGTTCTGCTCCGACTGGGCTAATGAAGACAGGTACATACCATACAATGTGCTATGAGGGAAATTTTGCCTACTAATATCGAATCCAACTGCCAAGGGATCTTTTCGTGCAAGCCAATGTATACATGGTACCTCGGATTTTTGTCCCATCTGAGTGACTAGACTACTGTCCTTGTTCCTGCACCTCTGACAAGGGGAAACCATGTCGGAAAATCCTGATGAACTTTCTCCACCAATGCAGGGATCGAACACGTGCCCTCCGGATTACCGAGCCAGCATCTTACGCACTTAGCCACCATGGCTTTATCAAAATTAGTAATGAAGATGTGCTATGACAGAAATTTTGCCTGGACAGCAGCATTACCGCACTTACTAATGAAGAAGTGCTAGGAAAGACATTTTGCCTGCAGAGCAGCATTTCTGCATATAGTCATTACAAATAGTTCTAAGTGCACGCCAACCTGTAAAACAGGTCTTTACACACTTTTCCATCATTACCAATTACTAGTCTGCGGGTTCACTAGTCTGTGGGTGCACTAATCCGTGCATTCACTAGTCCACTAGTCTGACTCTATAAAATACTATAAATATGAGTATTAAAGAAACCCAGTAGATATGGTGACTGATATCACCCTTCGTAAGGCGATAACCCAACATCACGGCATTTTAACCCGAAATCACAACATTTTAACCATTATAGCATATGCCCTTCTTCAGTAGCCCACTTGGAACAAAATAGTAGGATGTTCAAACCCCATTTAAAATTCATTTTTATACTTTTCTGAACCAATCGGACTATTGAAGATAGTCATACGCAATGCAGAGTGCTATGACGGAAATTTTCTATGGACTGTGGCAGGGCGGAGGATCTGGCAAGGGATAAGGTATAGTTGTTCGGGTCATATGAAAAATCAAGTCCTCGTGTACATATTGGCATGCACGTAAAAGACACTCCGACAGTTGTAATTCAATATCAGAGTAGGCCATAGTGCCGCTATCCGTGCAAAGTTTCCGTCATAGTACACTGTATATAGTGTATGCCTGTCTTCATTAGCTCACTCAGAGCAAAACAGTAGGATGTTTAATCTCATTTAATTTTATTTAATTTTCCTACTTTTCTGCACCAATGGGACTATAAAAGATAGGCTGGCAAGCGGACGAGTGCACCCATTGACTATTGAGCATCATTTACTTGAAAACGTTGAGAGAACCCTCAACGAAATGTCGCTTTAATTAAAATAGTAATTGTGTTTTTTGTTGTATCATCGAGTCAAGTGAACGTTAAACCCCATTTCTCTCTCTCTCAATTTTGATACCCAAAAATTTGACAAAACAAATAATGATTGATTGTCGGAAACTGTTTCATAAAGCAAAGTTGTTCTCTACTAAAAGGTTATCACTGTCCAAATGTTCGGAGTAGTCCACACCTAGGCCGACTATGCATGAAGTGTTTTTATAATTAAATTTATTAAATATATACTATTCAAAAAAAGTAGGGGATATTTGATTTTTAAGTGTTATTAAAGTCACCTAATGAAACTGACGAAGAAACAAATGACAAAATGAAATGAAGTTCACATTCATCGATTTATTCCAAATGATCGTTAGACTAAGTTAGACTGGCCATTATAAGGGTAAAATGATACCCGGGGTCAAACAGCAAAGTTACCACAGCATCACAACCAAGTCAGTAACGGGTAAATCCTCCTCTGTTTGCCAAACAAGCATTGATCCGACGTGGCATACTCCTAATGAGACGTCAAAGGTCATTTTGGTCCAGATTGTCCCATTCCTGTTGCAACGCAGCAGCAAGTTCTTGGACATTGGCAGGACGTTGTTGACGTTGACGTAACCTCTGTCCAAGCATGTCCCAGACATGCTCGATGGGGGAGAGGTCGGGACTCAGTGCTGGCCAAGGTAATGTGGTGATGTTCTGTTGTTGGAGGTAAGCTGTAACGATCCTGGCCCTGTGACATCTTGCGTTGTCATCCTGGAAGATGAAACGGCGGCCATGACGTCGTGCGAACGGCACAACATGGACTGCCAAGATGTTGTCCCGGTAGTACTGGCCTGTAACACGCCCTGCAACAACATGTAAAGCCGTTCTTCCAGCAACAGTGATGCCTCCCCACACCATAACAGAACCACCCCCAAATCGATCATGTCTGATGACGTTAACGTCTTGGAAGCGCTCGTTTCGACGACGCCACACCCTCCTACGTCTGTCCAAAAAATCAACAGTGAACCTTGACTCATCTGAAAACATCACATTGCTCCAACGTCGATTATCCCAGTGTTGACGATCCC